GGTTTTCGGTCCAAAGAGGTTTTCGGTCTAAATGGTTGGCCGAAAACTCCTGATCTTTGGTGCATAAGGTGATTTTCAAGGACTTTCAAGTATGTATAGGGGTTCTAAGTTTCATCCAAAGCCTTATGTGCGTTTAAGGTCTTAAAGGCATCTTTCTTTAGGGTTTTCGGTCAAGGGAGATGCACTTGACCGAAAACACCTATTGTTCTTGAGAAATGGATGTTTTCAAGGCCCTAAATTATGTATCCTTACTAGATAACAAGTATAGGAGGTAGATACTTACAATATGGAAGCAAAGAAGGGTGTTTTCGGCCCAAAACACTAGTGTGTGTTCTTGGTGTTCTTGGTGAAATGAAGAACACTTGAAGATCTAAGAAAATGGAATGATTTCATGGATGAAATCATGTAAGATCACTAGATAATGGAAGAGATCAACTAAACAAGGAAGGAAACACTTACAATCTTGAAGATCTTGACAAAAATTCGGATGATACTTGAGAGAGAATTGTTCTTGACTTGGAAATGGGAAAAAAATGACAAAAATGACTAAGTGTCATTTATATACCCTTTAGGGTTTTCGGCCCTAACACTATTTTGGGCCAAAAAACTCCAAACTGCTTGGAGTTTTGACTTAAATGTTGCACAATTAATCCTAAAGTATACTTCCTCTAATTATCTCTTGAAGTACTAGGCTTTAGAACACTCAAACTGACTCCAAAAAGCTTAAAAATTAGCAAAAATAAATCTGACTTCTATTGAAGTGAATGATTGTACAAGATAGAAATTTCGGGTTGTCACAATATACTCGAGGTTGAATCTCTCGAACATCTTGAGTTTGGTGATGAAAAAGATGAAGACCTGGTTGAAAATGGTGTTTTAGGACTTCAAGCTATCAGGGAACAACCTGTGAAGGTCGTTTCGGATGCAGATAATCTCAAATGGTCCTCGTTTACGTGGCCATCATCGTTAGCAGAAACGTTCAGATAAAGCCGCGATATGGCAAAAATCAAAAAAAAGCTAACCATCGACGCATTCTGAGCTACACAATCTATTCTTCCACCAATCCCTTCTCTGAGGATCATTTAGATCGATGAAGGTTCACCAACCTGGAAACCTAATGATCTCCCTGAAGAGCCTCTAGTCCCTCTTCCACTATAATTCATCATCACCGAAACCGGTCAACAAATCATCTCTGACTTGAATGAGCCTCCACAAAACAAAGGAAAGAAGATTGCTACTGAATCGGACAGCCCAGTGAAAACGTAAAAAATGTCTTAGGGCTGGTCTCAAGAACAAATAAATCAAGCTTTGGAAGAAAGCGTCAATATTCAAGCACTGAAATACAATCTAAATCCAATGCTAGACATATCTCCTCTTTTTTGAGAAGGATTTATTCACTATATTCACTTTCTTCCCTTCATGCATTATGATCTGCCAACTTAGGATGCCGATTAACTTGACTCCTCACAGTCAATTCTACATCAAGTACGCTCCTCTTCATCCGAATGATGATCCTCAAATAATCATCAGGACAAAGTGTGAGAGATTGAGAACCTTCTACTCCTTTAACGTGCATCCTCAAAAAGAAGTGTGGTCTCGGAAGAAGATTACCAAGATCATTGGATACGGTAACAAGGTTCAGAGCATGTTCCATCTCAACTGTATGTTGTCCAGATATTATGTCTCTAGGAACAAAGAAGCAACTATCACCGTCACGGATGCCGACTTTCCCTCAATCAACCCCAATGACATTCTCACCATTGCTGTTAACTTCTCAAATCGCCAAACAGGTCGAGTGAATTTGCTGAATCAATTTCTTGAAGGACTACGTTGCTGAATTCTGCAGGTCCGAAATTGAATTTGCTCACTTGTTCAAAACCGATAACGTTTCGGAAAAAATCACTTACGAACTACCTGAACCTCATATCTTAGCAGAAGGCCATATTGAAAAAGTGGAACTCAGCTATGTATATCTCAAAAAGAAGACTAACCGAAAATAATTCTTTAAAGTTCTTCATAAACATTTAGTGCCGACAAAGATCCTTCAGAAGTTCATCTCCAACGCTGAAAAAAGTGATTCTCCGGAGCATGTAAAGGAGAAGTTCATCGAACACCTCAAATGGTATTTAGAAGTCTGAAGCTAGCTTCACAGTGCCTATCTCTTTGTCTTTGAGGAAGCCCAGTGAGTTGATTGATTGCTAAGTTTACTTAGGGGATACTGTTGCTACATAAAGTGAACCTCTATAAATCCCAAGCCAAACCAAAAGCAAAGTCAAGTGCAATCCAAGATGTGAAGAGTTCCAAAGCCACTCTTCTTCCGAGATGAAGACTTATCCGAGAGATTCATAGTTTTTAATGTTATAGAGTTCGTATAAGCATTAAATGCTCCTTGTCGTTTTTATTGATTGAACAGTTCATAAGACAAAATCAAGTAAATCGTGTGTGTCATCTTTTCTGACATATCAGATTTACATTCTCCATGCAAGTTTTGTGTTTTGTCTTATTGTCTCTCCTTTCCTATTTAAAGAGATGATTTTTCCATGCATTGTAACCTTGAAGTAGAAATATTCTCTTCATATCAAATACAAAATATCTTGCACGTCAAATCTATTTCTCCATTATTCTTGTTATTCTTAACTTATCTTTACTTTGCTCATATTCACTTTACTTTACTTAAATATTTTGTTGAATACTTTCTTGATCTTCATACTCTCAGACAAGACTGGTTTACTAGACTTGCCTGGACCAAAATATTAGCAGCAGACATTGATCTAAAGTTAATTCAAGGTTTGAGTTTTCAAACCTTGTCCGCACACTAAGTCTTGCACTTTCAGCTTTTGGTTCTTTGAAGTTGAAGAAGGCACTTGTGGTGCTTTATTTTGGTAATCTACCTTCTACCTTTTGGTCTTGCTGAGCTTTTTGGCATTTATAAGTCATAAAGCTCTTACCGTTTTGCCTCATGCATGCTAGATCTAAGCTTTAGAGCCTTTCTTTGCATTGTTGGGTTGTGTAACATGCTTGGGATTCATAAAGTTTGCAACATTATGGATCATTGAGACATCTTCTTCATGTGTGTCCTTGGATCTGAGTTTTGGTGTTAGTTTTGGACTCCAAGCATGAGTCTTGATCTTATTACCTTTCTTTTAACCTAGTTTGTGTCTAAGTCATGCATTGGACATGCATAACTGAAAAGCTAGGATTTTATGGTCCTTAGGATCAAGGAAGGTGCAGTGGAAAGTACCAATGTATGTCTTAAAAGATTAAGAGCTTAATGCTCAAAGTTGATCAGAACCGATCTCACGACGTAGGGAATGGAACCTCACGACATGAGCAAGGTGGTTGTTGCGATTGGAGGATTTTGTTGGATGGGTGAAACTGAGTCGACTCGTTGAGTTGGACCGGATCAAGTCCATTCTCACAACGTGAGCCTTAGTGGTCACGACGTGAGGGTGGGCTGAGGGGAAGGTTGACTTTTGACCGTAGACGTTGACTTTTGATCAGAGTTGACTTTTGGTCAACTCTTGGTTTTGAAGGGGTAAACCTAAGGTTTGCCTTGCATGATTATCTAGGTGTGAAGTGGCACCAGTGTAGCTGACCGTGCTAACAACAGTAGTTGATTATCAATCGAGATGTGGGTTTCCTTCATTGTACTCATGGGTCGAAGGAACCAAGGCCGACCCACTAGATTATCTTTGTAGGATGGTAATTACCTTCGTGAAAATTACACGTTATGTCTGCATATGATTGATGTCTCTGTGACTTGTGCTGATATGTATGCATGCTAGCTGTAAGGGTGAAATAGACCCGATACTAGTTGAAAGATATCGAAGGGCTTGAAACATACCCAATACTGGTTGAAAGAGACCGAAGAGGTTGAATTAGACCCAGTCACTACTACAAAAATGGTCTTTTATGACACACAATACGGGTCGTAAAACGCTCAGACGAATCACAAATCTGTGTCAAGGAAGGCCCTGTAATTAAAAAAGACGACACGCTTTTGCGTGTCGTCTATTTACGACGCGTAGTTATGACACCCATTTACGACGTTCCTTTATGACACGCAATGCGTATCTGGAAGCCCCTGTCATAAAGGAAGACGACAAGCACTTGCATGTTGTAACCTTACGACGCGCGCGTTTATGACACACAATGCGTATCATTAAAGCCCCTGTCATCAAGAAAGACGACACCCATTTTTGCGTGTCATAATTTTAAATGTTTTTAAAATTATATATTTTTGATAGATTTACTAATTTTCAAATTAAATAACACATTAAAAGTCTCATAATACAAAATAAAATACCATAAACAAGAAAGATTATTCGTTGCACTAATATGTCAAATATAAATAATCATTTCAATAGTAAGTAAATGTAACACATTGCGAATATTGCATAATATTTATTAGGGAAAAACAAAACATGTACAACTTTAAAAGAAACCCATGAGTAAGTTCTCCTTTGACAATCTCCATGGTAGCTTTAAGCCTTGCAACTTCACCACTTAAAGATGCATCAACTCATCTAGTGTCGACTCTTTTTCTACAAGTTTCCTGCGCTTGGAGATATAAAAAGAGTTATCTTGTTAACAAAAAGTAAATTCTGTTTTTTTCAACTCAAATCAATTAAGTACGTTGTTATTCCTTGCAATTTAACCAAAAAGACCTAAATGCATGAAATAGCAACATATTTTGCAAGAAATAGAAAAGTACATTGCTACTTCGTACACTTACCCAATGTCTCCAATATCAAAAGTGTTTGAAATTATTGTTTCTATGGTTGATGATCGTATCAAAGTTGTAAATTTACTTAATAAAAATGCTACACCCCAGGAGCCTAAAGTTATAGTTTGAGTGTTTTGTAGCTAACATAAAATGTATGATCATTTTCCAGGGGAAGTAGTACCATATGCAAATGCAACTGAACCATTGGAAAGAAACTTGCAGGAAACTTATCATGCTGAAGTTGGTCCAAGTAATACAGTAGTCCAGGTGGCATCTAGCATCCTACCAAACAGATAGGTGGACAATTTAATAATTAAAAGAGATGTTCAGGTTTATAATACCAATAGCTACACATCAAACTTCCACCTTGTATAAATTTTTATAACAAGAAACATAAATAATGGAAAACTTATATAAATTTTTCTTACCCTTACGGTATTGTAAACGGTGTTCTTGTTGAGCAGCCTGTTCTTGAAGGTTCTTGTTGTGTTTCCATGCCCATCTCAGTAGTTGCTGAACAATATTTCTTACTTCTTCAAGTTTAGCTTCACTCCCAAAGGTACTCAGTTGTGGATTCTCAAATATGCACTTCTGAAGAAGAAAATAAGTCGCAAATTCATTTAGCGTAAGGAGGGTAATATGGTCCAAGAACTCAACACTTTGATCATAGGATGCATGCATGCCCATGTTCAATGCCATTTCCCTAACCACAGTGGGACTCGCACCTTTCCAGAGAGCTAAAACTCCTTCATTTGTAGTGATTCTGTAGAGGACATGGAATGCCTTGTGAATTTTTCCATAACAGCCTATAATAGTAAATATAAATATATATAAACATATCATTACAGGATATTTAGAAGAAAATTTGGGCAATCTTAGATTTGACCTCGAAAGGGCCATTATCTGTTCTAAAACTGATTCCTAGAACATATTTCAACCAAATAGGAAAAACCCCTGAAATCGAAATGACAGAGAAGTGTAACTTATTTGTGAAATTGTTAAAAATTACAAGTAAAGATTTTACTATTTCTATAAAATAAAATAAAAGTTAATTACCTAAAATTCCATTCAGCACAAGCATAAGGACCAACTCTGAGATGAGCATAGAGTCCAGCTTTCTTAATCAGCTTAATGAACTTCACCAAATCATACCTATCTTCGAAATAATACTGGGAAAGAGAAAATAAATCTTGAAATTAAGAAAATTATTTATTAAATTAAAATAAAATATTATTTTATTTCAAGAAATACTTACTTGACAAGGTTGTGGTTCATGTCCATTCCAGAAAACATAAGTTTGAATCACATCTAACCCTCCTTCTTTTTCCTTCTGTATAAGATCTGGCCACATCTAAAACATCAAAGTATATAACAAAAAGTTTCAGAAACAAGGTAAATAATAAATCCCAAAATATGATTCTAGATAAAAAGATGACATTACAAAAAGGGGAAATTAAGAAACTCAGGAAACACATGAAGTGCATTGATAAGTAATATTTTCGTGAGTATAAAAAGTCAAAGACCATAATCAATGTCAATCATGAAAATAAAAGTTACAAAAAAGTTAAAGACCATAACCAATGTCAATCATTCAAATAAAAATAACAAAAAATTGTACGTAGAATATAATCCATGTAATTTAAAAATAAATCGACTTATGATCCAATGGCGAGCAGATAACGGATTACAATCCCGCATTTCTTTTTGATTCGGATTTAAGTGTAACATCCCGAGATTTGGCAGGTATTTTTGAATCCTCTCTTCTATTATTTAATTGTCATTTGTAGTCCCTGGAGTTGGAAGAGTCGAGCCATGTGAAGCCTAAGGGATAAAGTTGCAACTTTGGGATCAGGAAAATTACGCTAAGCGTACATAAGGTACGTTGAGCGTACTAAGCGCGCCCTAGTACGTTGGGCGTACACTTGTGTACGCTAAGCGTAGTCACGTTAGATGGAAACCCTAATATTTAGGGTTTGGGTGCAATATAAACGACCTTATGAGCTCAAAACCCTCCATAACTTTGAGCTGTTTTTCCCAAACCCTACCCCTTTTCTTGAGTGTGTGAGCTAAAAGTGTGTGTTTTGAGTAGTTGGAGAAGAAGGTGTTGCATCAAGAAGTTAGAGAAGGAAGACAAGATTGTAGATCTGAGGTTTCTTTGTGCTCTAGAAGCTCGAGGAGGTAAAAAGCTCCAACCTTTAAGCTTGTATGATGTAATTCTTGCCATGCTAGCTTTATGAAACCATTTCTTGTCCTAAAAGTCCCAAGTTGGTGCATGTTATGATTTGAACGAGATAAGCTGTTGTTTCAGACCTTAGAAGGGGTCCTAAGTGATAAAAATGATGTCCCAATGGTTGAAAGTGTCCCATGCATGTAGTAGAAAGGTCTTAATGGGTTAAGACCATGTATTAGGAACTTTCTGGACGTCCAAAGTCTTAAAGTTCAAGACTTTATGGTTCGAAGGCACATTTGGTCGATGGATCTGAGTTTGGACTTAAGTGCTTAAGCGATTAAGAACTTATTAGGGTATTGGTGAAACCTTGCATACGCCCCACGTAATCTCTGTACACCCAGCGTACTGATTCAACCACCCCGATGGTGGTCAACGTAAAACAGAAGTACGCCCAGAGTACTAGATGAGTACGTCCCGCGTACGCCTTCTGTTGGGCTTTTGATGATTTGGGATTCGGGGTTGGGGAACTTTTGGGCCAAGTTTGATATAGGCCTTGCTGGACTTTCTGAATAATTGTGTTTTGGGCCAGTTTTGGATTTGGATCTTAAATAAGGCCCAATTAGGGAGTTGGGTCCAATTAGGAAAAATAGGTCATTAATGGGCTTTAGATATTTGGACTTTTAGATCATGGATTTGGTAGTGGGCCTTGGCCCAAATTACATAAAAGGAAATAATGGAAAATTAACCTATGTGGCACCCTTGGTCAAGATCGATATACAAATTGTTGAATTAGTATTCGTTATTTTGGATAGTTCGGGATTTTCGGTGAGACAGCGGTCGGAGACTTTCAGTCCATTTCAACAGTACTTGTGAGGTGAGTTCTTCTCACTATATCAATAGGGTCCAAGGCACCAAGGCCGGCCCTTTATGATTTGTATCCTGGTGATATGATGTTTGCTATGTTAGTGATCTGTTAGATTGGTATCCTGGTTATAGGATGGTTGCTATGTTAGTGATCGATTAGATCGGTATCCTGGTTATAGGATGGTTGCCATGTTAGTGATTTGTTAGATCTGTATGACTATCTGTACTTACTAGCTAGCATATGATATTTATGTGCACATGATTGTTGGTTTCGGGGATTAGGTCCTGCTTTGTGCTATAGGCCAAGATACCCAGGGCGGATCGGATAGGCTTCAGACCCGATTATGGCATACTAGTCAGGTCGAAGTCCTGGCGAGCGGTCCGGATAGGATGAAGGCCCTGAGAGGCGTTCCAGACATACCGATGGCTGGGAGAGCGATCCAGATACAATGATGGAATGTTAGACGGTCCAGTCAGACTGATGGCTCATTATGAATGTTGTGTTTGTTTATATGATATGGTTACATCTGTATGACATTGGCATTTTGGAGGAACTCACTAAGCTTCAGGCTTACAGTTGTTGATTTTGTTTCAGGTATTTCTGATGATCGCGGGAAGGTGAAGGCGTGATCGTACACCTCCTTATGTTTCATGATCTGATTCTGGATACTCTGACACTAAACTATTTTGAAAACAAGTTTTGTAATAATCATTGGTTGTTAAATGTTTTAAAAAGTTTAAATTTGGCTTGATTCTTTTACGGATGTAACATTAAGCAGTGTTTCTTATGTGTCGAATGTGTTATTGTGAATATTTTATTTTCCTGGTTCTTCAACTTTAACATCAACTTCAACAACCTATAAATAGAAAAACACAAGAGGCCCTTGTATCATATATCATATATATAAACAATGTAATTTTTCATACCACATAATTAATACTTTAATTTGTGCTCCATTTTGGAAGTGGGCAAACTTTGTTTACAAAAGAAGCAAGTAATATTTCTGAATACTATACACATTACTACACCCACACATACAACCACAACCACCTAATGGTTGTGGGTGGTGGTAGAGAAACACGTCGGTAGCCTAGGTTGCCGGACACGACGGTAGGTGGTGCTTGACGAAAAAAAAACAAAAAAGAGGGAGAATAAAAGAATAGGAATCGATACCTTAGGCTGGAGCAAAGTTTGTCTTTAGGTCCTCTTCCTCCTTCTCACTCGACAGTTACTCAAAAATCCGACAGCCCTACACAAAAACTCGAACAACTCCCTCTCTAGCCATTAAGATGAACGAATGGAAGATTAGGGTTATTTTGGGATGCTAAGGGTTTGGTTAGAAGGGTTGTAAGAACTAAATATTAACAATCGGCCCTAACAGAAGAGCCCAAGGGGACCCCTACATCAAAATGAGGCTTTCATCCCAAGGGTACCTGACATCAAAATGTGGCTGCCAATTAGGGTTTTATTTTCATGTAGAGGAATGTAGGGGGAGGTTTTCTTGCAGTGAAAAGCATGAGTTGTGTTGGAAGAACAAATAAGGGTTGGAGGTGCTGGAGGTGGGTGAAGACGAAGGCCCAAGGGTTTCTTTCTTGCTAATTCAAAGATTAGCGTCGATGGAAGAAGGTCAAGGCATCAGTAGAGGGAACAAGGGAGACTGATCAAACATGCGGGGTTTTTAATTTTTGGGGATTCCATTTCCCCCCTCCCCCCCCCCCACCTTGGCTATTAAAACGCGCGTTTCATTAAAAAAAATTATAAAACGACATGCTTAGATGACACACATTTTATAAAAAGCGCCCTCCGTGTTTTGTTTTCGACACTAATTTTAGGGCACGCAAAAATACACGTCCTAAATCCTTCAAATTTCTGCAGAGATGACATTATTTTTAGGTCGCACACTTTTGCGTATCATAAATCAATGTGTGTCGTAAATCGCGTGTCATTAAAGGTCTGTTTTCTAGTAGTGAGTGCCGGTTGAAAGAGACCGAAGGGGTTGAAATATACTCAGATATATTTGACTGGATGTATGTATGGTATGCGGTATTTTGGGGGAGCTCACTAAGCTTTGTGCTTACAGTTTTCAGTTTATGTTTCAGGTAATTCCAGCTCTAAAGGGAAGGGTCTTGCTTGATCACACCGCATCTGCCCATGTTTTTCCGCATTCATGTGATTTTGGGATTTGTACTCTGATATTATGATATTATGATAGACTCTTGACTGTTTTTATAAAATCATCGTACAATTGATCGAAATGAATTTAAAAGCGAAAATTTTATTTGAACTTTTGGAATGTTACAACATATGCTTGAGTTGTTATAGACCATTCAACATAAATTCGAAACTACAATAAGTGTTTTGAATTTATTTTAAATATCAACTTTCTACTTTGTTTGTATACATTTATCTAATTTGTTTATTTTGTTTTGTGTTTCAGAGCATGTATGAATTTGCTTCGACTAATCAAATTGAAATTATGGCCATGAAACTACTTCCTAGTTTAATTGGCAAAGACTTAGAGAATCGGACATAACTCGATAAGCGACTAAATTTAATATAATTTTTTTTTTGTGTTCATCAACATTAACATGAATGTTGAATGCTATAATCGAAACAAAATGAAAGTAAAATGCTATAATTGACATTAAAATGAAAGTTGAATGTTTTAATTGAAAGAAATGAAAGTAAAATGCTATAATCAACATTAACATGAAAGTTAAATGCTATACTTGAAAAAAATATGAAAATAATAGATCCTATTACAAAATTATACTTTGAGAAATATTATAGTAAATTATTTTGAATGTTGTTTTAAAAAATGCACAAAGAAGAGTGCAGTACAACATGAATGTTTGTTTTGATATTATAGTGAATTTATACACCTGGGAAACTGGAAAATTGGAAACTTGAACAAATATACTAGAAATTTTGTAATTTTTTGCTATTTGTATGATGGTGCGGTTTATTTTAAATGGTGTGATTTTATTTAATGGTACGAATTTAATTAATGGTTAGTTTTGTTTAATAGTGTGTAACTATTTAATGATCCTAATATTTTATTGATGTTGTTACGGTTTATGGTGTAAAGTCAATTCATGCTTGTTTTTTTTAATAGTACGTAAATATTTAATGTTGCGAAAGGTCTTAAGGTGCGGTTGATATTTAATGGTGCGACGTGTTATTGATGCGGGTGAGATTTAATTGGTGCGGTGTCTGGATTCCAAGAGGCCGTTTATCGGTGTTTATCGGTGCGTGATTTGACCTTTTAGTGTGGTTTAGGTAACCACATCATTAAATGATGGTATTTAATGGTGCT